TCTTCAGCGCCACCACCTCGCCCGTGACCTTGTTCCGGGCCTTGTACACGACGCCGTACGTGCCCTCCCCGATCTTCTCCACCTTCTGGAAGTTCTCCATTGGGTGGGGGGGCGGCCCCGGGCGGTGGGGGCGCGGCCCGGGGTTGCGGTGTCCCGGGGTCCCGGGCCGGGCACGGAACGATCGCGGCCGCCGCTTTTCCCCGGCGCGCCACAACCCCGGGGCCCCGCCCGCGCCGCTTCCCGCCGGCCGCTGGCCACGCCCCTCGCGGCGTCCCATTGGCTGAGCCCTCGGCCGGGCGGGGGGCGGCGCGGGAGATCTCTTAAAGCGACAGGCGCGGGGCGGGCGCCTCTCGACCCACGAGTGCGGCGTTCGCGGGTGCTGCGTCCTCGCGAGCCTTCTTTCCCCGGGGCGCCGATGGCAGAGCAGCCGCCCTGACTGCGGTACAGGCCCTGAGCCCGGGTTGTTATCAGGCTGCCCACGGTGTTGCAAATGCAGTGCTACACACGGTGTTCCCAGGCAAACGGTCCCGCGGACGCCCTCCCCGCGGTCATGCTGTCACGCACGCAGTCCCACGCACGAGGTTCCCATGCACACAAGCGCAGTACTTCATGGCCCTCTTTGTGCATCCTGCCAGCCACAGCTGCCAGTGCTGACGTGGGCTGGGGCCAACTGGGGGTCTGCAGTGCCCCGATGCAGCTGGGGGTCCCTGTGTGGGTGCAGTATGGGGGGGTCTCCCTGCGAATGTGTCCCATCCCAAGGGGGGCTCCAGGGTCGCCCCTATAACCCAGCTCCCTGCGGCACCCGGCGCACGGACCAGGCACTGCTGTGCTGTGAGCGGGGGGCAGTGGCTGTGCCGAGCCCTTCGCGGGGGTCTCACACACCCCGAACCCACCGCCTCCGAGCGGAGCTACGGGAGCCGTGTGACCGTAGCCATGTGCGCGCACACATGCCCACACGTGCACGCACGTGCCCACCCGCAGGCCCTCCCTGGGGCCGTCCCTCGGGGTGGGGCTATGTAAAGAGGGTCCCTTCTTATCCCCCCGCGCCGCTTGCCTTCGCCTCTCCCGGATCCGGAGCGCAGGGAGCATGCGGTTTCAAGGGGCCATCGTGCTGCTGGCGGCACTGCTGGCCCTGGCCACGGCACAGCAGCGTAAGTGGGGCTGCGGGGGGGGGGGGAAATCTTCAGGCAACCGGGGTACCTGAGGAGTGGTCCTGGCTGTGAGCTGCCCGTGGGCTTCGTGGGGCAGCCGTGGGTTACCTGCGGGACCCCAAATGGGGACGGGTCGGGGGTGGGTGGTGGCACTGAGTCTCCCAGAGCAAGATCGGCCTCGGGGTGCGCTCTGCGGTGAGTGTGGGCCCCCAGGGTGGGCTCAACCAGCCCCGTGTTGTGGGGAGGCCCCAGCACGAGGAGGGAGCAGCATCTCCATTGCTGTGTGCCCACGGGGACCCCACGGGGACCCCCATCCCTCTGCGCACAAGCGATGCCATGGGGATCCCGTGGGGACCGCGTGCCCCAGCCAGTGGGGCACAGAAGGGACACGGGGGGAGCGCTCACCCCGTCCAGCCCCGCGCTGCAGCTCAGCTGAGCGTCACATGAAACAGCTTTGGGCAGCGCCATGTGACGGGCTTTGCCCCGCACCGCAGCCTGAGCCCATCACGTGTTTCTGGGGCTGGACGGGGGGTCCCAGCGCGATGCCACGGCCTCCGTGTCCCTTTTCCCGCAGGAGGCGGCAGCCGGAGCCGCGGTGGCTTTCGGGGCCCGGTGTGGGCCGGCCGCCCGGCGCCGTTCCGGAGCTGGGACGCAGCGAGGTACCGCCCGTGGCAGGAGGGGAGAGCGCAGCAAAGCGACTGCTGGCGAGGTGAGCACGGGGACACACAGACACGGGGACAGACGGCCGCGGCGCTGCTCCCTGAGCCGCCGTCCCCGTGCCTGACAGGAGGCGACGTCACCTTCGACATCAGCAACGATGCTCCCACCATGGCGGGCGCCAGGGCCACCTTCTCCATCGCGCTGCGCTTCCCCAGCACGCAGACGGCGCTGCCCGACGGCCGCGTGGTGTGGAGCCAGAACTGCACCGTGAATGGTGGGCTCAGCCGGGGGCTCCGCCGGGGGCACAGCCGGGGGCTCAGCAACGCTTCGCTCACGTTGTGCTCCCGGCAGGCACCCGCGTGGTGCAGGGGGAGCCGGTGTTCCCGGAGCAGCTGGCCGAGGGCTCGGATGGCGTCTTCCCCGACGGGCAGCCCTTTCCCCGCAGCGCCTGGGGCAAACGTGGGAGATTCGTCTACGTCTGGTGGACGTGGGGTGAGGACGGCTCTGTGCCGAGCTCCCAGCACTGCTGGGATGTCCCCATGTCCCTGAGCACGGTGTGCCTGAGCGCGGTGTCCCCGCAGGGCGTTACTGGCAGGTGGTGGACGGAGCGGCGTCGCAGCTGACAGTGGGGACGGACGGGGTGGCCCTGGGCTCCTACACCATGGAGGTGGTGGTTTATCACTACCGTGGCCGCCAGAAGTTCATCCCCATCGGCCACGCCAGCACGCAGTTCAGCATCACCGGTACGTGGCGGCGGGGTGGGCGGGCTGGCAGCGGGCGCAGCGTCCCCACGCTGATGTCCCTGTGTCCCCCAGACCAGGTGCCCATTGCGGTGGACGTGACGCAGCTGGAGGCGGCAGCGGGGAACGGCGGGCGCTTCGTGCTCAACCGCCCCGTGGCCTTCAGCGTGCGGCTGCACGACCCCAGCCATTACCTGCGTGATGCTGACATCTCCTTCTCGTGGGACTTCGGGGACCAGAGCGGCACGCTCATCTCCCGCAGCCCCACCGTCACCCACACCTACCTGCAGGCCGGTTCCTTTGCCGCCCGCCTGGTGCTGCAGGCGGCCATTCCGCTCAGCTCCTGCGGCACCTCTGCACCCCCGGTTGTGGATCCCACCACTGGGCCGGCGCCTTCCTTGGGACCCACGGCCACGCAGCCTGCAGGGCCCACAGGATCCGGCACCGCCGCGGCACCCGGCACCCCCACAGGATCCAGCACCGCCGCAGCACCTGGGACCACTGCAGCACCCGGCACCGCAGCAGCACCCGGAGCCTCCGGGGCACCAGCAGAACCCACGGGGGTCTCAGTGGCCGTGCCCTCAGACGGTGCTGCCACCGAGCCCATCCCCGACCCGGTGCTCAGCACTGCAGTGCCCGGTGCAGCAGCCGCTACAGACCCCACTGCAGACCCCCTGCCCCCCACCTCAGTGTCCTCAGGTGGGGACGCTCCGGGCACTGTGGCCCCCACAGCAGTGGAGGGAAGCGTGACGGCAGGTGGGTGCTGTTCCTACGGGGCAGAGGGAGATGGGCTTTGGCCTGGGGGGTCCTGCGAGGGAATGGTTGGGTCCCTCCAAACCTTTTTCCAGCCGCTTCTTTGCATGGGGCTGCTGCAGGTGTGGGGACAGCAGGGGACGTGGCCGCAGCCACCCCTGGAGCCACCGCTGCGGACACGGCTGTGGACACAGCTGCAGCCACGGATGGGGACGCAGTTGGACCCACAGCTGCAGCTACAGCTGAATCCATAGCAGATCCCACAGCTGGAGCCACAGCCGGGTCCTCTGGCAGTGCCACGGCTGGAGCCACAGCGGAGCCGCTGCTGCTGGTGAAGCGCCAGGCGCCCGAGGCTGAGCCCAGCGGCTGCGTCCTGTACCGCTATGGCAGCTTCTCCACTGAGCTCAACATCGTCCGTGAGCACCGGGCTGAGGGGCCGGGGGGGGGGGGGCCAGGGGGGTTCAGCCTTCATGTGACACCCCGTCCCCTCACAGAGGGCATCGAGAGCGTGGCCATCGTGCAGGTGCTGCCCGCGGACGCTGAAGGCAGCGGAAACAGCGTGGAGCTGACGGTGACGTGCGAGGGGAGGTGAGGAGAGCCGGGCACGGTGCGCCAGAGATGGGAGCAGATGGGGGGACGGTGCACGGGGTTGGGGACAGCTGGGAGCCCACGGGCTGGAGCTAGGCAGAACGTGGGGATGGCAATGGGGGCTGGGGGGTCCTGGGAGCTCACTGACCCCCCCCCAGCCTTCCCGAGGAGGTGTGCACCGTGGTGGCGGATGCCGAGTGCCGCACAGCGCAGACTCAGACGTGCTCGGCCGTGGCACCGGCGCCGGGCTGCCAGCTGGTGCTGCGCCAGGACTTCAACCAGTCCGGCCTCTACTGCCTCAACGTCTCGTTGGCCAACGGCAACGGCTTGGCTGTGGCCAGCACCCGTGTGGCTGTCGGAGGTGGGAGAGGGAGGGGATGGGGGAGGAAGGGGAGGGGGAGATGGGGGGCTGCTGCTGAGCTGCCTCTGCCCCCCCAGGAGCGTCCCCAGCTGCCGGTGGCACCACGCTCACCGTGGGGCTGCTGCTCATCGTTGCTGCTCTGGGCACGGCTGCCTACACCTACCGGTGAGCGGGGGGGAGGACTGGGACAAGGGGGGGGGGGAGAGGGACACGGAGACATCACAGCATCACCCCCTCTCCCTTCTGCTTGCAGCCGTGTGAAGTACAGCCCACTGCTGCCCGCAGCCCCCCCAGCCCCCAGGCCCCACAGCTGGCTGCCCCCTGGTGCTGCCCTGCGTCTGCTGCTGCGCCAGGCTTTTGGGGGGGCTCCCAGTGGAGAAAGCAGCCCCCTGCTGCGTGCCAACACTGTCTAGGAGGGGGGGAGGGGGGTCTGCATCCCACCCCCCAGTACAGAGCCCCCTGCCTGGCCCGAGCCCCCAGGAACCGGGGGGGATGCGAGTACCGGCTGCTAATAAAGACTCAACTCAGCTGTGCTCCATCTGTTTGCATGGGGGGAGATGGGGGGGGCCCAGCCGCCAGCTTTATTACTACAAGAGGCACTTGAAACGCGGGGGTTGGGTGTAATAAATAGGGCACGGGTGTGGGGGGGCCCAGCGGGGTGGGGACTCCAGCCTCTCCTCCCACCCCCCCGTGGGGGAACCCATCCCTGGGTGCACAGGGGAGAATGGGGAAGAACAGAAGGGCCCTGCCCAGTGCTGGGGGGTGGGGGGGTCCGGTCCCCTTTAGCCCTCCACAGAGCCCTTCTTGAGGCCAAAGAAGCTGGAGGAGCGGGGCGGGGGGGCCATCAGCATGGGCGCCTGGTTCTTGTGGGTGATCTTGATCTGTAAGAGAGGATGAGTGTGGGAGGGGGGCAACATGGGGAGGGCACAGAACCACTGGGGGATCCAGGGGAAGTAACAACACCCCCCCAACCCCCCCCCCCCCCACCCATCCGGCATGGGGATGCATACAGTGCAGGGTGGCTGCATCCAGGGCTCTCCATCAATCTGCATGGGGAGGGCTTTCAGCGTCCTGCAACAACAGCCCCCTTACGGTTCACCCACAGCCCTTCGGGGGGGGGGCACAACCCCCTCCCCCCTCTCCCCCCTCCTCCCCAGGGCTCACCGCACGGTGATCTCGGAGCACTTGGCCAGCCGCGTTCCTGCGCTCTTCAGCCCTGTGTAGATCTGCCCCATTTCCAGCACTCCCTCCAGCCCCACAACTTCCAACCGCTGGTCGCTCAGGTCTAAAGGGGAGGGGTGGAGGAGGGGTCAGCACCGCGCCAGCCTCGAGGGAGGGGTCGTTTCCAAACCGCCTTCCCCCACGCCACGCACCCTGCACGCAGGTCTTGAGCGTTTCGGCGTCGGTGATGGCCGGGGGCTGAGCGGCACCGGGCGGCCGCCTCGCCTCCCCCAGCGGGCGCTTGGTTTCACCCCACAGGTTGGAGCCTCCGTGCATGCTGGGGATGTTGAGCACGGCAACCCCCGCCAGCGCACCCCGCAGCTCCAGGGGGGTCCCGCAGCACTGGGGAGGGGGGCGGGGTGAGGGCAAAGCGCCGGGAGGGGGGGGGGGCGGGAACAGGGATGCAGGGACGAGGCGCACCTCGATGCTCAGGCACTCCTTGAGCTTCTTGCAGGTGGCAAAGAGCGTCTCGGAGGTGGCAAACTCCAGGTACCAGAGCTTGTTCTTCATCCTGCGGGGGGAGCAAGGCGTGGTGGGGATATGGGGACGCACGGGGGGGGTCGCAGGATGTGGCCCGGGGCCAGCACTCACCTGCTGTTGAACTTCTCGGGGTATTTCTCCCGCATGACGTGGAAGCGGTGCGCGATGGAGGCATCCTGCAGGGGGCAGATGGGCGCAGTGTGGAGGGGTGAAACCCGGCCGTGCTGCGCCTCCCCCTCCCCAGCAGCTCCCAACCCCACGCACCACCCCAATGGAAAAGTAGTTGTTGACGATCTCGTAGGGCACGGGGTCACCAGCCTCGGTGGGGCAGGTGGGCAGCACCCGCAGGTGCCAGCGGTCCATCTGCACCACGCTGCTGCCCTCGATGTCCTTCAGGATCTTCACCAGGTTCTCCCCATCGTAGCCTGCGGGTGGCGTTGGGGGAGACACGGGATCAGGGGGGAGGCTGGGGGATATTGGGCTGCCCACCTCCCACCCCACTACTCACCTCCACCCCAGCGCAGGCACCGCGCCAGGTCGTTGCCGGTGCCCAGGGGCAGAACGGCCACGGGTGGTCGTCGGGGAAGGTTGGCTTTGTCTGCAGGGAGAAGTGCAGTGAGGGGCGGGGGGGGGGGGGGAGGGGGGGGGGAGGATTTGGCCATCAAATCCTGGGGTGTGGGGTGACGGGGGGCTGCAGACCCACCAATGGCATCCAGGATCCATCCCACGGTGCCGTCACCGCCGCACACCAGGATGCGGAAATCTGGCACGTCCCGAAAGAAATTGAGCCTGGGGAGAAGGGAAGGGAAGAAAGGAAGGCAGGGAGGGAGGTCAGGGCTGGTTGCCCCCCTCCCAGCACTTACACACCCCCCGTCCTATTCCCCCCTTACCCCGGGTTGGGTCCTCCTTGCTGCAGGTTGTAGACCTGCCGGGGGTTCAGCAGGTACTGGAACTTCCGGAGCACTCTGCAGGAGAAGGGAAGGTGGGCTGGGGGGGTCCAACCCCCATCTCCCCCTAAATTTGTGTGTGGAAGAAGGCCCCACAGCGCGCCCGGCGCCAGCCCAGCCCCTCACCTCTTTCCCTGCTTCCCTCCGCTCTTGGGGTTGACGAAGACGAGGAGTGGGTGGGTGTCGGGCACAGGGCTGACCTGCGGGTTTGGGGGAGGGGGGGTTGAGTGCCAGGCATGGCCCCATAGGGGGACACAGATACGGGTGGGGGCACAGGGGTAACAGGGGAGCGTGTCTCACCCGCAGCGCCTGTCCTTCAGGGGTGGTGAAGACCTGTGGTCCGTCCTCACCCGGCGTCCCACTCTCGTCCTTTTGGCTGTTCTGCCGCTCCTGCACCCCCAGCAGGGAGGTGACACCCACGTCCCCAAACAGGGACATCCCTCATTCCCCTAAATCCCCCCCCTTCCCCTGAGCTCACCAGCACCACAGGATAGATGGCGGAGGGGGGCAGGATGTGGTCCCTCAGCAGCCCACAGTCACAAGCGGGGGGCACAGCGGGCTTGCAATCCTCGTGGATCTGGGGGGCAGAGACCACGTCCAGCCACCCCATCCCTTGGGGATGGATGGAGGAGACGGGGACCCCCCTGTGACACCAACCAGCACCACGGGGGCCCACATCCCCTCCGCCCATCCCCACCTTGAGGTGACACCAGACGCAGTGCAGCCCCGTCAGGCTCTGGAAGCTCTTGATTTTCTTCTGGCATTTGCCACACTTGCTGGCCTCGCAGCCCCCTTTCACCCAGACGTGGGCTTGGACCTGCGTGGGCAGTCATGGCGGGAGGTGGTGGGACAGACGGACGGAGGGACGGACAGACAGGAGGAGGAACGGGTGGGCAGGCGGACGGAGGGACAGCCAGGCGGGCAGGCAGCTGCACAGCTTGACAAAGGAGACGGATGGGCAAACGGACAGATGGACGGACAGAGAGATGAGCGGACGGACGGATCGCAGATGGAGCCACGGACAAACGGACCGGCAAATGGAGCAGGCGGGCAGGCAGACGGACGGACAAATGGATGGACAGATGGACAGACAGCCGGGGCACTCACACCGGCCTCCTTGCGGGACTTGGCGTAGGTGCTGATGCAGCTGGGGGGGGCCTTGCGGGCGCAGCGCTCGTGGACCGTGAACTTGCAGACTGGGGGGCGCGGCCGTGAGGGGGCGGGGCTCGGCCCCTGCTCCCACCTCCCCAAACTGCCCCTCAGCCAATCGCAGCACGGCCCCCTCCGCCCCGGGAACCAATGGCAGCCCGGTGTTACCCGGGTGGGTGGGGTTTCTGCAGTAGCCACGCCCGCTTTGGGCGCGGGGCTTCCTCAGCTGGAGGGGGCGGGACTTCCTGCGACACCTGGGGCGGGGGTCCCTCCCACCGCATCCCCACCCCCCAGCGCCCCCATCCCACCCAAGGGAGGGACGCCACCCCATCCTCGTCCCTGTCCTTACCGCTGTGCACCCCCCATCCCACAGCCACCCGTCCTCATCCCCAGCCCTCTTCCAGCCTCCCCCCACCGCGGTCCTCCTCCCCATCCCCTCCCTGTCCCGCCTGCATCCTCACCCCATATCGTGTCCCCCACCCCCCCGGTCCCTGCCCCACTCACAGGTGCAGCACAGCCCCTGTTTGCGCAGCCCGACCAGCAACGTCTCGCACACGTTGCAGTAGGCGGGACGGTTGAAGTGCTTCAGGCGCCACATGTGCTGCCCATCATCCTTCATGTGCTGAGAGGGTGGGGGGCGGGGGGGTCAGGACAACCCCGGGGGGGTCCCGGCACGGCGCACCCCCCGCACTCACCACCTCCAGGCCCAGCAGCACCAGCAGGGGGATGTTGGTTACACCGCCGCGCAGCCACTCCGCCAACGACACCGTGCCACTGCCATCATAGTCGATCTCCCGCATCATCTCCTGCAGGATCTGGGGGGACGTGGGGCTCAGGGGGTCTGGGGGGGGGCACACGGTGGGGAGGGATGCGGGGCCACTCACCGGCTTCAGCTCTGTGACGTCCCAGTCCAGGTACTGGGCCACCCGCATCATCTGGGTGATGATCCGCTCCACCTCCTGCAGCACGGCGTGGCGAGGATGAGGGTGGGGGTGATGGCGGGGGTCCCAGATGCCCCCCCCAGCCCTGTCCCCTCACCGAGCTGTCCAGGAGCCCGTTCCCATCCTTGTCGTACAGCTTAAATGTGACTGCGGGGGGAGGGAGGGGCACAGCAGTCAGATGGCGGTGCCCCCCCCCCGGCCTCCCGGTGCCACAGGACCCCCACTCACACTCCAGCTTGTCCTCGGGGCGCCCGCCCTCCAGCAGTGAGAAGTAGCAGGAGACATCGTTAACGCAGACGAGATCAGCATCTGTGGGATGGATGAGGCTGAACCCACGCTCCCCCCCCCGGGGCCTGGCCCCCCCCCCCATTTCCCAGCCCCCCCCCATGTCCTCACCAGCGCCCGGCTGCCCTGCGCTCTGGAAGGACCTGAAGAGGTGATGGCACAGCGTGTCCGGGACATCAGCTGCCTCCAAGTAGCTCCTCAGAAACAGCTTGAAGCCCTCGAAGTCCACGCACTGGGGGGGGGGGGCAGAGGGGGGCTGGAGGTCTGCGGAGGGGAAGCAAGCAGCCCCTGGGGTGCGGGGGGGGGCTCACCTCTCCCTGAAGGTGCTGGGACAGCATCCCGTCACCACAGAACTCCTGCAGCACGTCCTGCACCTTCCTGCTGCTGTCTGCGGGCACAGGCGTGTGCAAGGATGCTCGGGGAGCGCACACACGGCAAGGGGCGCGCGCACACCGTGCATGCATGCACACACGTGTGCAAGGCACACCCACGCCTTGCGTGCCCACGGCTCCATCGCAGTGCACACGTGTGCGCGGCCGCCCCATGCGTGTAAAACCCCTGCCACGCACACGCACAAAGCCACGCACAGCGTGCAGCCACACCCGCGCACACGAGCTGCTTCTCCCCCCCCAACTCACAGTCCAGGTACTTCTGGAGCTGGGCGAACTCCTCGGGGCTCAGCGTGCCCCACTCCGCGCTCTCCTCCATTGCGCTGCCTGCGGGCGGAGGGCGGCGGTGGGGACACGGCGGGGGTCTCCCCGCTTTCTCCCCGCCCCGTTTGCCCCGGCACAGCCCCCAACACAGCCCCGCCCCCCCCCCCCCCCCCCTCGGGCCGGGCGGGCGGCAGCTCGCTCGCACACGCACAGGTCGGGCTGCTCGCATCCTGCTGCCACGCATCCGGCCGCCTCCCACGCACCCCGCGGGGATGCGGTTCCCTCCCGGCCCCGCGCTGAGGCGGTGCCGGCCCCGAGGGCGAAGGCTGACCTTTGCTCCCTGCGTGGCACCGGGCGGCAGATGCTGAGCGCGGCCCGGGAGCGGCGCCGGGCGGAGGTTGGGGGGAGGGGATGTGGGACACGGAGCGACAGCCGCAGTCCCCCGGGACCCCAAATGTGACCCAAAGGGGAGGAGGACGATGCGTGCGCGTCCCTCCTGCCGCCTCCCGGAGCACCCATGGGTGATCCCAGCACCACTCCCATCCCCTTCTCCCCCCGCACCGGGGCTGCGTCAGGAACCCGCGCTGGGGGAACCGAGCCGTGGCACGATGCCGGCCCCCCCGGCCCGAGGTCGGACACGGCCCCCGGGACCCCCCCCGGAGCGGCGGCTGGTTCCCTTATTTAGTAACGGGCAAGGAACGGGAACCGTGGAGGGGGGGGGGGTGCGGCAGCCGCGCACGGCCCCTCTCCGCTCCCGAGACCCCCGGGCTGCGCTCTCTCCCTCGAGGACCCCGGGGCGAGGCGGCTGCCGTCGGATAGGAGGCACCGGGGCCGCCTCTCGCCCTGCCGGTGTCCGCGCAGCCCGGGGCGGCTCCGGAACGCAAAGGTGGGAGCGGCGGAGCCCAGCGGCGGGGCGGGCGGGGCCGGGCCCTTCGCTTTCCCCGTTTTCCTCCTCCCGCTGCGCCCCGGGAACGAGGAGGCTGAGGAGGGACGGGACGGGAACGCAGCTCGGAGCTCACCGCGCTGAGCACCGGGAAGCGGATCGGGAGGGGCGCGAAACCGGGCGGCGGCACCGAACCCACGCCCCAGGGTGCAGCCCGGGCCGTACCCCGCCGGTGCCACTTCCCTCCCGTTCCCCGCGCGGTGCCGTCGGTTCAGCTCAGCCCGATGCGCTCCGCTCAGATCGGACCGAGCCCCGCACTGCCTGCTTCAGTTCGCTCCGGTTCGATTCCTTCCGACGCAGCCAACCCCGATGCGGCTCATCCCGGTAGCACTGGTCTCGCCTCGCCCCGCCCCTCCCTCCCGGCGCTGTCCCGCCACACCCCCGGTGCCCGCCGGTACCTGCGGGGCTCCGCTCGGTGCCGCCACTCGGTCCGGCCCGGTGCCCGCGCGCTGTCGCCGCGGCCCAGCCCCTCTGACATCACGGCTCAGGGCGGCACCGGGAGCACGTGCGGCGGGGGGGCACAGCGCCGGGGCGGGGTCCGCTCCTCTCCGCTCCCTGCCGGGCTCTCACCTGTCCCGCGCTCACGGGGGCCGCCTCCGTTGTACCTTAAATCGGCCGGGGGGCTGGCAGGGGGGCTGGGACCGGAGGGGGGGGGGCCGAGGGGAGCGGGAAGAAGTAGAAGGGGGCACGTGTGGAAATCCCCGCGGCAATCGCAGCGCGGGGCCGGGCCGCATCCGGACTGCCCCGGGGGTGCGGCGCTGGAAGGAAAGGCAGTTTGTTCCCCCCCGCCCCCATAGTGAACCGCATGATGCTGCGGTGCGGGGAGCCCCGACCCTCCTTGTTCCCCTACGTGACGCCGAAGCGGGGCGGGACCGGCCCCGAAGGCTCGATTGAGGCGGATTATCCCCCGGTCACCCGGACCCGCAGCGCGGGCACTTTCTAGCCAGGCATCACCGCAGCAACCCCGCACCCAGCGACTCCGCACAAAACGGAGCGCTGCGCCTTTAAAAACAAAATGGCCGCCGCCGCCCGCGAATCTCCCCAATCCCCTGTCCGGACGCCGCGCCGCCACTTCCGGGGGCGGGGCGTGGGGGCCGGAAGTGTATCGCGCACGCAAGATGGCGACTCCCTATGTGACTGATGAGACCGGTGAGTGCGCCGCGGTGCGGGCCCGCCGCTGCGGGACGGGGTCGGGCGGCTTCGGCGCTGCGGAGCGGGGATCTGCAGGGCGCGGTGAGGCCGAGGCCGCGCCTGGGGGCGGCGGGGCGGCTGCGCTCCGCGGGGTGGGCTCCGTCCCTTCTCTCCGTGGGCTCGGTTCCGTTCTGCTTTTTCCCTGTGGGTCCGCGCCGCGGCCCCATCTCTGCGTGGCGTTTCCCACAACGCACTCCGTGGGCTCGGACCTCCCCCTGTGTTGCCTGTAGGGTCAGATCTTCTTCCTATGTTTCCTCTGGGGTCAGATCTTCACCCTGAATTCTTTACGGGCCAGTATCTCCCCCCACACGCTCTCTATGGGGTTACATCAGTCCCCCCATGCTCTCCGTGGGGTCACATCTCCCACTCCCGTGTTTACTCCCATCCTCCCATGTCCCTGCAGGGCCAGTCCCTTCCCTTCCCCCCAGAACGGTACCAGGTGCCGGGCAGCCCCCAGCCCCGTGGGAGGAGCAGCCCCTTGTGCGCCCCACCCGACGTTGCTTTCTCCCCCATAGGGAAGTACATCGCCTCTACGCAGCGCCCTGACGGCACCTGGCGGAAGCAGCGGCGCGTGAAGGAGGGCTACGTGCCACAGGAGGAGGTGCCGGTGTAAGTGGGGCAGGCAGGCAGGTGTGGGGTCCTGGGGTGGAGCCCCATTGCTGGCATCAGAGCGATGGTGTCGGTGTGCCCAGGATCCCAAATTTGGGCACTTTGTGCTGTTACCTGCGCCCCGCTGGGGCTGTGGGTGCGTGGCAAGGCTGGGAGACCCCGGTGTCTCTGAACCAGGTCACGAATTGAGGTCTCAGTCTCTTTCCAGGTGCCTGAGCACTTCTGACCCCCTTAGCCCTTAGCTGAGTCCTGATGGTACGTATCTGGCTGCTCCTCTGCGCAGAGCTGGGCTGAGCCACGGCCATGAGGACGTCCTGAGGAGCTCAGGGCAGTGCTGGAGCTGAGCTCTGGGTCAGGGCTGTGCTGTGCTGATGGCGAGGCCGGAGGTGGTGAGGTTTGCAGCTCCACGGGGGCAGCAGTGCCGTCACTGCATCTCCTCCCATGCAGGTATGAGAACAAATACGTGAAGTTCTTCAAAAGCAAGCCTGAGCTGCCCCCGGGGCTGAGCCTGGAGCCCAACGCCCAGCCCGGCAAGCAGCCCAACAAAGCGGAGGGCGGGGAGAGCGGACTGTCCAAAACAGCAAAAAGGAACTTGAAACGCAAGGAGAAGAGGAAGCAGCAGCAGGAGAAAGGCGAGAGGGAAACAGACGAACTGATCCAATCGCTGGACAAGGTCTCCTTGTCGGGGGGCAGCGGCGGAGACACGAGAGCGGCCGCACCGCAGCCGGCCTGCAGCGCCCAGAGCTCCGCTGACGGGGAAGCCGCAGCCTCAGAGAAAAGCAAGAAGATCAAGAACCTGAGGAAGAAGCTGCGGCAGGTGGAGGAGCTGCAGCAGCGGCTCGACTCTGGGGAGATAAAGCAGCCGACCAAGGAGCAGCTGGAGAAGCTGGGCCGGAGGAAAGCCCTGGAGGAGGAGCTGCAGGACCTGGAGCTGGACTTGTGAGGGGGGGCCGTCGTGGGGCCGGCGTCCCCAGCGCAGGCTGTCTGGACTGAGCGCCGGCCCCTCTTTCCCGGGGTTTTGTTTTGGGTGGGTGCCGTCGTTTTTCCACAACAGTTGTTTTTCGGTTTGTTTCTTTGTTTCCCAGCTATCGGTGTTAGGAAGTCGGCGACTCTCAGATACCTCTCTCCTTTTTAAAGTTTATTCGGGGGAGCCGGGCAGGGCTGGTGCTGCGGGGGAGGCGGGGGCAGCAGCTCTTCCTTGACTTCTTCCCCAGCCCCTCGCATTCTGTGTTACGGCCTGTCGTCCTCTTCCTTTTATTTTTAAGAGCGCAATAATAAAATTGCAGTAGTGACCCCGCGGCAGGAGCTCAGCTCTGCCTTTCCCTGCTGAGGACGGTTGCAGGGATCCCCCCGCGCTCCCCAGCCCCCTCAGCCCGCCCAGCCGCAGCCGTGCCAACGCCAGCGTCACTTCTGGGAGCTGCGTGGGACACAGCTGCCTTTGTGTCCCGTGAGCAGCGTTGGAGCGTCGGCCCCCTCTTGTGCCCCATTTTCTGGGTGGCCCCGCGCTCCGGCTTGGCACCAGCCCACGTCCTGCTGCCCGTCGGGAGGGACGGCGTATGGGACGGCGCTCGTTCTGCCCCAACCCTGCGCTGGGCTCTGCTGGGGGATGGGGCCATGTTTGGGTTCATCCTGCGTGGGGCTGAGCAGGGAGAGCTGTGGTCGGTCCTGGGATCATGGAGGTGCTGCATGGGGATGGAGCTGGGCAGTTTGAGATGGGAGAGATGATGTCCATAAGGCGATTGGGGGTCGCTGGAGCATGGAGGAGGAGGTGTGGGGGGTCTAGGGAGCACAGGGCTCACAGATGGGGGTGTTGGTGGTTTGGGGGATGCAGGAATGGGCAGCTCAGGTGGTCGGTGGAGCTGGGGGCCTCGTGGCAGCAGGAATGGGGGTATAACAGGTTTGGGAGTCAGAGAGGGGAGCTGGGGGCAGCTGGAGGCATTCAGAACACTGTAGCTCAGGTACAGCAGTGCGTGCACAGCACTGTGTGCGTCCTACAGAAATTGCTGTGGGGAGTTATTTGCTATGAAGTCTTTCCTTGCCCTGGAGGGAGAGTGGAGCTGAACCTCTCTGGAGCTGACAGGGAGCAGGGGTCGCAGTGGGTGTGGGGCTGCTTGTGGGGCAGGAGCTCCCATTTACCCTACGAGGATGCCCTGTTATTATTTGCCTGCTTAAAAGGGCAGGCGTGGTGGGGGGACAGCAACCCACAGCGGGTGGGGGGCACAGGGGCCTCTCAGAGGTGGCCTGGAGGCACCGGGGTGGTGAAGGACACAGCGGAGCCACAGCCATCACTGGGGGTCCCAGCCGGGTCCGGGGGCTGCGTTCTCCAGCTGCAGGTCCCACGAGCTCTGGGGGGGGAAAGGGGTGTCAGCGGTGGTGCGGGGCCCCCCCTGCTCCCCCAGCACAAACTCACCAAGGCCAACGTGTTGCACAAGCCGTGTGTCACTGGGGCAGGCTGGTGGCGGTGGCTGCACTTGGAGGGGGTTCGGTTCTGCTGGCATTTGGCTTCCTGCTGATGGAGGTGCAGCAGCTGCAGTCATTTCTGGCGCCAACTGAGGATCGCTGTAGGGAGGGGGCTCGGCACCGGCCCCTGCCATCACCCCCAGCCCCATGGCCATCTCCTCGGTCCCTATGCCGCCCCCATTGCCGTCTCCACCTCCCTCATCATTTCCATCACCCTCCGTGTCCCCTTCCCCACCTCCGCTGCCCCACGCTCATCATGCACACCCTATAACAGTTCCCATCCCAGTTCACTCCTCATCCTATCCCATTCCAACTTCTATCCCCACGCCTATTCACATTTCCATCTCAACCCATCCAAGCCTCCATCCCCACAGCCACCCCACCCCATCCCATCCAATCCCAATCCCTAACCCCATCCCATTGCCATTCCCACCTCCTCCCCACAGCCATTCCCACCCCACCCCTCCCCACTCTCCTCACCGTTGCTGCAGCAGGACACCAAGCAGGCTGAGCGCCGGCCAAAGCCCCAGCACGACCCAGCTGTACCAGCAGAGCTGCCCCACCGCCGCCATCCGCAGCCTCTCGGAGACGTGGAGCACCAAAGCAAACCCCTCCACGAAATAATCCACACACGCCGCCACCACGGCAGCGCCGAGGACGGCAGTGGCCAACGTGGTCAGCGCTTTGGGCCACCGCAGGGCCAGCAGGGCGCAGAGCAACGCCGGGCCCAGCAGGACCCCCACCAGCACCCAGGGGCTCAGCGGCGGCACCAGCGGCGCAGCAGCTGCCAGCACGGCCGCGGCCAGCAGCAGCCCCAGCAGCAGCCCGGTGGAGAAGAGCCCGACGCTGCGCAGCAGAGCGGTGACCAACCCGCAGAGCGAGCCGATGGCCAACGCGATGCCTGCGCTCACCTCCAGGCTCAGCCGCGTCTCCAACACGCGCTCCTTGTAGCACAGCAGGAAGATGGTGCTGGAGCCCAGGAGCAGCCCCGAGGTGAACATGATGGCTTTGAAGCAGCGATGGCCTGCGGGGGATGTGGGGCTCAGTGGGGGCTGCGCCGCGGTGTCCCCGGTGCCACCCCCCAGCTGCGCCCTGTGGACGCATCCTGTCCTGTCCCCACTGCCAAATGTGTTCCGTGCAAACGCCCCACTGCACCCCACAGTGCCTCCCGTGCCAGCCCCTGTCCATGCACCACGTGTCCCATAGTGTCCCCAGTGCCATCCCCCATGGACGCATCCCATCGTGTCCCTAGTGTGTTCCCCTGTGCCATCCCACCCATGCCCAGGGACGCACACTGTCCTGTCCCCAACGTGTCCCTTAGTGTCCCCAGTGCCATCCCCCATGGACTCATCCCGAGGTGGCCCCGTGTCAAACCCCACAGTCTCCCCCTGGTATCTCCTCCCCCTACCCCCGGCGGTGCCCCCCCGGCGCTGTGCCACCCCCACCCCTCACCAACGCAGCCATAGAGAAGGCCGAGGACGCAGCCGAGGGCGCAGAGGACCGCCGGACCGGGCTCATAGTGCAGCCATGGCTCCAGGCGGCAACGCGGCTCCGCGGGGGCTCCGGGCTCCATCCCGGGCCGGGGAAGGGGGCGGGCGGGGGTGAGGCTGTGCTGGGGGCGGTGGAAGCGCCCAGAGGGAGCCCCGCTCCGCTCCCCCCCCATTCGCGCATCTGGCGGCGGGGCCACATCTGGGGCGGGGAATCGGAGGAGGGCGGGAGGGGCCGGGGGGAACCGGGGGCTCCGAGAACATCGGGAGCAGTGGGAGGGGGTCGGGAGGGGCGAACTCTGGAGCCACCGCGGCTGCAGAGTCGACTCCATTGCTGGGGACACAGTGAGGAACTACGGGGGGGTGTGTGCTGGGGGGAGGGGGGGGTCTTCTGGACACACTCGTGTACCCTGGGACAGCCCAGAGCATTCCTAAGGTCCTCCTTGCGACCCCCTTCCCCCCCCAGAGGACTCCAAGGGTCGCCATCGGCACCCAGGACCCCCCAGCCGCTCCCGGAGCTCCACACGTGGCCCGAAGCAGCCGCGGACCCCCGGCACCACCCGAACCCGCGGGCACCGCTATGCTGCCCCCTGCTGGCCGAGGGGAGGCACCGCACGACCAGCGGGGCGCCGCTACTCCGTGCCGTTGTGCGCATGCGTGAGGCCGTCTGGAGGACCTAGAGCAGCAGAGTTGGGCGGACTGGCGGTGCAGAGCGGTAACTGCACTGGGACGCCACTTCCGGGTTTCAGCGCGAAACTGTCGCTTTTCGAAGACCAAAAGCATGGAGCCGGCCGGAGCGGGGGCACAGGGCGGTGCGCAATGCCGTGTGCACGAACAGCGCAACCGAGCGGACCACTCCCATAGAGATCCAGGACGGCAACCCCCAGCACAGCCCACGGACAAGAAGCCAGAGCCAAACCTGTGAACGTTGCAGCTTTATTGAGCCCCACAGTGCAGCAGCCCAGAAAGGCACTCATTGGAATCGATCAGTACTCCTCCCCATCCTCCTCGCCCTCCACGCTGTCAGCCCCCACCTCCTCGTAATCCTTCTCCAGGGCAGCCATGTCCTCCCGG